CTTAATGACAAACATTTTAATACTTTTACATTTTATACATAAACTTTATTCTCAATAAGTATGTTGCTATTAGTAACTTTATTCTCAATAAACATACTTTTATTCTCAATAAACATACTTTTATACTTTTACATTTTATACATAAAATTTCGATTTCAACCAAAACAAAGAGCACAATCATACATATTTCAAAATCATACAAAATTTCGATTTCATATAAACCTAAACAAGTAAATTAACATTGTATACATACAATTTCAATTTCATATGTACCTAAACAAATTTGAATTTCATATAATATTTTAACCACAATTTCAATTTCATATAACATTAACCAACTAAATTAACATTTTATACATACAACTTCAATTTCATATAAAGCTAAACAAACAAACAACATATGTATACCAAACAAACAACACAATCATACACATACCAAACAAACACCACAATTCTATAATCATAGGAGGATTAATTTCAATTTCAATTTCATATAAACTTATACATATATACAATTTCAACTTCAATAAAAATTAGAAAACAATACTAACCTTTTTCGTTTTTCTTGCTGTGATAGCGGGAATCTTATTGTCAAAATTGATAATGATCCTCCAATGGTGGCTGGTGGTCACCCGAAGAACACAAAATCAGAAAAAAAAAATACAAAAAATCCACCATATTACTTACTTACCTACTGTGGCAGTGAAGGAGAAGCTAGAAAGAGGCTGGATTCGTCGGTGGGAGGCTGAGGGTCGTGGAAGACGGTGGTGAAGCAAAACCTCTTCACCACCGATTGAAAGCTATAACACCAAAAAAAAAACCCAAATTGAGGATAAAATTTTTTACAACATAACAATAAACAACAAATTATGAGTAGAAACAACGTTACCTGGACCAAATCGTCGGTTGTGGAAGGCTGCAGACGATTTTCGTCGGAGAGAAGAGAGGGAGTAACACAGTGAGCGAATGAACCGACTGTATGCTATCGCTTAGGGTAAACCCCTATGCCGACGACTTGTCATCGGGATAGGGTCCACACAAACGTTGTCGTTTCGTTTATACTGAAACAAAAAAAAAATTAAAAATTAAAAACCTATGCAGACAACATGTCGTCGGGATAGGGTTTCACGCAGATCGCCACGTGGCTTACTGACGACATGTCGTCGGCATAGGTCTACAAAAACGACGTCGTACTTTATTTCAGGAACATGTATTTAAAAAAAAATGGAAAAGCTATTTTTTCGTAACCTATCCCGACGACATGTCGTCGGTATAGGTTATATAAAATGACGGCATTTTCTATTTCTGGAACATGTATTTAAAATAAATAGAAAAGCTATTTTTTGTTACCTATCCCGACGAAAAGTCGTCGGTACAGAGTTTCAAAATACCGCGAAAATTTTTGTTGTTCCCGCTAGACCTGTAGCGACGACATGTCGTCGGCACAAATGTCCTGGTCAAAGCAATTTAGTCAAAGTTTGCAAACGATGTGCCAACGACTAGTCATCGGCATAGGGGTTCTTTTAGCGACGACAATCGCCGTCGGCATAGGCCCATATTCTTGTAGTGACCATGAGGTTATACATCTGGACTCTAGGGACTAAATGATCACGTAAAGTCTTAAACTTTATCTACATGCATGGCCCTAGAAGCTTCAAAATACCAAAATGATGGTTTAAAGGTTGCATGGGACCTCCATGGCTATAAAGTTGGCACATTTATGCCATGAAAGCCCCTTAAGGCCCTAGATCTGAATTGTTCTCCACTTGGGACGTCCAAATCCCAAGAATCATATCATTTGGACCAAAATAAGCAAAGAACTTCAAAAATAGAGATCTAAATGACCACAAAGCAAGGTGTAAGCTTTATACCAGCAAAATGTTGGGGTTGAATCAAGGGTTCTGGATCTACAAACTCCTTATTGTGTCTCTAAGCTCTTCATTCTTCCAATAGCTTCAAAACACACACTAAAATACTTGAAATACCTCACAAACACACATAATGGCATTAGGGTTTCGAGATTTAGGGTTTGGGACTTGGAGGTTGGAAATGAGGCCAACATGAAAGGTTTAAGGTGCTTAAATAGGGTGCAAACCCCGGAAATTAGGGTTTCCTCTCTGCTGGCCTACTCGTCGAGTTGAGGCCTCCCAACTCGTCGAGTAGGTTACTTAAATTATGCGGCCCTTATGATCTCTACTCGACGAGTTTGGGGCTCCCAACTCATCGAGTTGCTCTATAAAATGGAATAAATTTAAGTTAAATAAGTACCAGGAACTAGGCGCTACAATATTCTCGCTCAAGGGATAGCCAAAGATCACGAAAGGTGTTGCCTTGAACATGTTGGAATGACAATAGAGAGATGGTAGAAACAAGTAACATACATATGTGAGAATCATTGGAAACCCATGTTTTGTAGTCTGGGTTTGGTTGTGGGGGTTGTACTGTGCGATCTTTATCTTTTCTTGATGATGAAGATGGAATAGTAGGCGTTAGGCATGTAATGGTGCCATCAATATAGCTGAACAAGTTGTTGGTGAGAAGGAATGGTTAGACCATTGCCTTCCAGAAACCATAATTGGTAGGGGATAGAGTGAAAACAAAGTTATGGTGACAATTGAGAGTTTTCTCTACTGGGTAAAAGCTGCAAGTGCCATTGATTAACAAAAGAAAACCAAAAACAAGATTGACAGTAAGTGGCGACACTGGTGAAGATCAACAAAAGATAGAGGGCAATTGAGAGTTTTGCAATCGGAATAAAAAAATGGCGCCAGTAATTGATTAATTGATTATAGGTGGTGGCACTATAGGCCAAATTGATGACTGGTGGACCAAATTTGTATACAAATGTATTTGTAATAAAATAGGTGTTTGTATACATTTTTTTTTGTAAAATACATGTATGTAAACATTTTTTTTTATAAAAACGAATTTGTATATATTTATGTACTTAAAAAATACCTATTTTTATAAATAAGTATTTCGTATACAAAAAAGTTCTTTAAAAAAAAAGTTTTTATATAGAAAATATAAGATTTTTTATGTGAAAATATGTTCTTTTATATAAATATGATTTTATAAAGAAAAAACATATTCGAAACAAAATTTTGAGAAAAAAAGTTGTAAAAAAATTAAAATTAGGATGAACTCATAATAAAATTCTAAAATTTGGACCAAAAGGGTAAATTTTGGATCAAAATTGTAATAAAATTTAAAATCTAGGCCAAAAGTGTAAGTTTTTGACCAAATTTGTAATAAATTTTGAAATCTAGGCCAAAAATATAATTTTTGAAAGTTGGATGACCTATTGACCGGGTAAAATGGTTAAATTGAATACGATTACCGATTTTTGTGACTTAATTGAATAAAAAAAATATATAATGACTAAATCGATTATGAAGCCAATATATAAGGATTTTATTGTAGTTTTTCCGATAATGTTCAATTTCTTTCTTTCCAAATGTGATAAACTGTAGCATCTACAGCCAAAACAATTCTTTTTATAACCCATTAGAAAGGTTACCCCCCGCTACGCGGGGGCCAGAAGCTTTCAATGTTGTTTCCGAATTGATAAATATGACAGACATAGAAAGTGCAAGGATGAAAAGTCCGGACTTTGCCCCGGAAAAAAATGTAAAAGTTTTGACTGCAAGGACCAGAAGTGTGAAAATGGCTAAAGAATTAAAGGGGTAGGAATTAGCAACTTTTTAGAAAATGGATCAAAGTTGTCAAAGCGTTAAAGTTTTGTGACCAAACTTTAAATATTAAAAGGTTCCAAAAAAGTGTAAAAATATTGATTGCAAGGACCAAAAGTGTCAAAATGGGTAAAGAATAATGACCAAAGTTGCCAAAAAACATCCAAATTTAGTATTCCTAACTTCCAACAATAATACAGGGACCAATTCTGCCAAAAAAATGGGAAGTTGAATGGAACACAAACCCAACAATAATACAGGGACCAATTCTGCCAAAAAAATGGAAAGTTGAATGGAACACAAACAAAAAAACATGAATAAATTAATTAAAGAAGTACAGGACCGGATATGTAAATCAAATGGCCAAAACTGGACAAAGTATGCCAACTTTACTATTCCTTTTTCCCACAACTTTAATATATATATATAATAATGTGACTTTTTTCTTTTATAACCCATCTGACTTTTTCTTCGAGATTTTTTCTTGAAATTCCTCAATCATAGCGTATATCGAACGAACTTACTCCATTTCAAAATCAGACCTGACTAACATAGAAATGCATCAGCTTACCTTTTCCATTCCTCCACATAAATTGGATCCGCTAAATAATGCAACTTGATCCACTTCAAGAATAAGAAATATATATAAAGTACGTTTCATATATGTTATGTTTTTTTTTTTTTTTCTTTTGGGTAAAAGCTTTATGTCAAAATGTTGCTCTTAGTTCATAGTTTATTTTATTTAATATATTGACTATTGATTTTTATGTTTTTATGTTGGGTAAAGCATTTTACATGAAGTTGTTCATAATTTATAGTTTATTTTATTTGATTTAATATATGATTATGAAATTGTAAACATAGTATCTTATTATGTTTATATGTTAAAACACAACTAAATCAACTAAAACTCAAGCAAAAATAAAACAACTGATTTTTTAATAAAAAATAAATTTATATTTAAAAATTGGTTCTCTAGGGCAAAGTTTCTTTAATTTTTAGAGTAAAGTCAGAACATGCATTTGGGAAAGCTATTGCAGTTACAGAGAGAACATGAAAATGACATGTACCAGCTCAATATATGACAAAGAACTCTTTAAAATTTATCATTACTCTTTTCAATTGCAGAAAGTAAGAAGATTGAACACCCACCTTAGTACCATTTTGGCTTTTTGTAATTTTACAATTCTTCAGTCAAAGTTTACTCTCTGCAATTCCAGAAAGTACTTAGTACCATTTTGGCGTTTTGTATTTAATTGGATTATCAACACAACACATGCAGAGAATTAAAGACTCTACACGATTTTGTGTTTGGTTTGTGTTTAACTAGTTGAGCTCCATATCATTTGAATACCTCCTTCTCCTTCCCAATTCCCATGGTAGAAGCGCAAAGGGATTCTCACACAATTACAAATGTTGGGTCAAGTCATGATAAGGTTTTCCTTTTCCCCTATTTAAATATCCTTCCATGCATTCTCATCTAAAAATCTTAAGCATTAACTCTTTTATGTTGTGCAGTTTGCCACTTCCCTTAGTCTTAATTGTTGGAATGGATGGTCTCGAAAGGTAAAATCTAATACTATATTTTTTTAATATATTTGCAACTTCATATTATTATTATGTATGAAGAAATATTTTTATTATTATATATGTTTTCAAAAGAGGATAGAAGAGCAACTAAAAACATAATGTCATTACTAAGCTATAGCAAGTTATAGGTGCTAAGTACCAAATGGATTGGTTCATTGAGTCAAAACTATTTCAGTATTTTGTTTATTTTTAAAATTTTATCAGTAAATAATATTAATTATATTTAAGAAATAATAATTAAAAAAGAAATCAGTATGTGTGTATGTTGAAAGTTGTTTATTGGAGTGTCTAGACTCTAGAATTAAGGTATTTACCTACACATAAGTTATCCATACATGTTAATGTTGGGAAAATACCCACACATATTTTTATGTGTAAATAACTGAAAATAATAGTTTTTAGTGATTGTCAACACTTACTTTGTATAGATAATACTTTTTATTTGACACTTTTATTGGTAAGTAAATTTTACTAAAAATACGGTTATCCGTAACAAGTTTTTTACCCATACATGTAACAAATTTTATTAATGTGTAGATTTACCCACACAAACTTAAAAAATCATTATATGTGTTGATAATTTGTTAACTTTTACCAACACATATTATTGCTCTATATGAATGTGTAGTTAAATAAAATAAGAATAATTATTTTATTTTTCTAAAAATGACGTGGAAATTCTACTACCGATAAATATTTGAAAATTAAATGTATGATTGGAAAAATCATTAAGTTTTTTCACCAATATATAATATTTACATTAATGAAATGTGTAATTATCGTACCTAAGATAACCAAATTTTGATCTAACTATGTTTTGACGTTTAATTCACATGTATTTAATATTTAAAAGTATATATATATATATATATATATATATATATATATATATATATAAATATTAAACATGTGAATTAAACGTCAAAATATAGTTAGATCAAATTTATATATAGGGTGAGGTTCAATAGATAACCATAATTAACAAGGAATCAATCGTGAGCGTCGGAAATCATAATAATCAACGACCAAGGAAATAGATGTACACTTGTACATTGGATGCACACACACCGAATTATACCAAAAAATTCACTTCCTTACCCAAAACCCCACCTCATTTTTTCTTTTAAATTTTTTTTAGACTATGTTTTTTATCGAAAAAAAAACCAAATATACCGTTGTTCTCGATTTTTCGTCATTTTTCCATAGAGATCCATGTTAATATATAAAAAACGAACTTTTTTTTTTCGAAAAAAACCTACTTCATTTTTTAGTTTTTTCAATATTTAAGTTTATTTTTAAAAAAAAAAACTAATTATACCAAAAATATTAATTTTTTGTACTCTATAAATAAACATCAACACTGATTAAAAAAAACATCGATCAGTGTAGATTCACACTGTGAATCCAAACTGTAAATATTTCAATTTTTAATATTTACAATGTGAAAAAGTTCGATTAGTTTAGAGTCACATTGTGAATCTGACTTACTATTATTCACACTGTGAATCTGAGTAGGTTCACAATATGAATCTGAACTGAAATATCGATTTTTTTAACATCAATATGAATCTATATTTAAAGAGTACCAAAATGAATGAATTTTGATATATTTATTAATTTTTTCTATAAAAAAATAGACCTACTTTTCAACAAACATATAAAATGAAGTGAGTTTTTTGAAAAAAAAAATATCATTTTTTATACATCAATATGAATCTCTATAGAAAGAGGACGAAAAATCACGAACAATGATATATTCGTTTTTTTTATAAAAAACATGGCCTAAAAAAAATTAAACTAAAAAAAAAGAAGTGAGTTTTGTTATAATCCGGTGCATGTGTGTACATTGTAAAAGTCTACAACCTTTCCTTTTACCGTTGATCGCTTTAAATTTCGACGTTTTGGATTGATTCCTTGGTTCTTTTATTATTAATGGCTCTCTATTGAATTTATATATATATATATATATATATATATATATATATATATATATATATATATATATATATATATGGTAAAAATGATTTAACTTTATTAAAATAGAGAAAAATGACATAGAAATTTGAAACATATACCAAATAGTTATAACAAAAAAAAAATTAATTTAGAAAACAAATTAGATTAGGATTTTGAAATTTGCATCGCCGATTAAGATATGATCATACTCATCATCCACTATGTTTAAATTATTTTTCAATTTTATTTTCCCTCCCTCTTTTCCCACTTAAATTTTTTTGTTTTTTAATTCCCTCTAGGATCCAACTAATTCTCCATATTTATTTCAGATATTTCATACAATTAAACCCAAAATCCATTCCCGATGTGAACCCTTGCGTTACCTCGCCTCACCTTACCGATGGCAGCCATGTTATCCACCGCTTCTTCGTTTATTTCTTTCACCCATGTAACTACCATTAGCTTGTATTTTCTTTAGTTTTCTACCATATATTTTAAATTAGTATGTTTTCTGATTAAACCATTTGATATGCCTTTTGTTTGCTTGTTTGTTTAAACTCAGTGTGCACGAATTCAGGACGAAAATACTTCCATGATGGTGAATCCAGAACGAAAGTTCAATTGTTGTATATATTTCTACTCGTTCTCTTAAACACATCATTGTGATTTCAGGTTTTAGACCTATATCAAATTAGCCTACGTAACTTGATTGTCTACTACATGGATGATCTATGTGACTACGAGTTGATTATTCAATTGATATTCAGATTGTATTTCACTCCCTCCTCTAGCTCTGCTTTCTTCTAATTTTCTAAGATTTGTATCTCCTTTTTCTATTTTAAGACTAATTAGATATTTAGATTAATATCGTTTAAACCTTTAAACTGTCTTTGATCCTCTAGACGTAGACGAAACCGATTTTTTTGTTCGATTGTATGTCCATGAATCACTCTACAAGTTTGATGTCAAATAGGGATGCATAATATTTCTAAGGGTTTCCACTTTCCAATATTATGTATGTATTGTTTTTCATTGATGGTTGCTATACTCTACTTTTTTATAGGTTCTAAAAAGTGGGCAAAGAGTTACCAACAGAGTGACACAAGCATGGTAAGAGCTTATTTATTTTTTTATTGGTATATTTAGTCATCTGTTATTACTTTTAGGTATCCATTGTGAATAATGTGTTTATGTAGTTACTAGTTGTTGTTATTTTGTTATAAGCCTAAAATCCCAATGCCTATATATCATGTATAGAGGTAAGCATCCGAACTGGATACCTGGAACCGAAATTGGAACCTGTCCTCAAGTGTTGGTTTCATAATCGAAACCAATATTACTAATCCTAGTTCTAGAACCAAATTTGATATTATTGGTTTTGGTTTCGGTTCCGATTCCAAGGTTATTAACTAATTTAGAACGGTTTAAGTTCAGGTTGTTATTTTTTAGAGTTGTTATCTGCTCGGACTGGTTCCTATAGGAGCAATTGCCAATTGTTCTTGTTTACCCTACACAAGTCATTGCCAATTGTTCTTATTTACCTAATTTTGCAAGATAATATGCTTACAAAATATAAAAACTTCTTTACAACAATAGTAGTCTTAACTTTTTATCTTCCCATTTTTAGTTGTATATAACTGAATGCATTGTCATTTTAAGTTGTAAAGCCACGATTTTAGCATGTTGAGGCTTGTCAATTAATTAGCCATATGCATACACATTTATTTATTTTAGACAGCTTCACGAATACTTATGTCAAAAAGCTATAATCGGGCACTTATTACAAAAGTAACTATTAACGATTTTTTGGTTTATTGTATGGATCTTTTGAAAGCTTCAGGTCTCAAGCTGATTCAGTAACTTGTCATTGCGCAATGCTAAATATTCCAAAGCAAAACATATCTCTGAATATGAAGAAGAAAACCTCAACTACTTGTCCTGAGAAGACTGTGTTGGTACTTGATCAACTCAGTGCACCTAATTACTATGAGTTTCGTGCACCTAATTACTATGAGTTTAAACGTTTACAAGACTTGCAATAATAGATTTTTCCTACCGGATATTATTCTTAATTTATAGATTCAATATTCGAGATTAATTGTGTACTTTCTATGTAAAACAGTTGAATTATGCAGACATCTTTGTTGATGTTTCCAATGTGTAGCAAAAATTTAACATTTGTTATTTGTCGTTATTTTATTCTTTAATGATGTTAATTATCGTAATTTGTATCTAATTTGCCTTTGATAATTGTGTATTTTATATGTAAGTTTCCCTACACATGTAACCATACATAATTTTTTTTATCTACACATACAAAGATCTTTACCTACACATATTTATTGACACGTGTCATCAACATTTTTGTATGGACGTGCCACATAACTTGACATGTCATTTTCCATGTCACCGGCCACATCATTATCAATGTCATTTTCCATGTCATCTTTCAAATAACCTAGAATACTTCTATCCACACATATTTATTAGTTTTATCCATACATGTATGTGTAGGTATAAATAACTATATACCCACACATAAGATATATGTAGATAAATATGTATATCTACAATCATGAGCCAACACATTGTTACAGTTAATTTATGTGTTGCTAATTACAATTACCAACATATAATAGGCTTCTATCAACACATAAGATGTGTGGGTAAAGACCCAAATTTCTTGTAGTGAAAGGGTAAGATGGTCATTTATGCATATGCAAAAAAAAATTATCTTATTTAGTCCTAAACAGTATTTCCATATACAACACTTACTCTAGACATGCATCATTGATTCATTCAAGAACTTATCGCCATTAAGATAAGTATGTGCAAAATGGATGAATGGACGATGATAAAGTTCAATAGACATAACGTCTATTTCTTTCTTTTTGGGATAGGTAAAAGTTAGTGTTTCAATACATTAAGCCATGTTTTGTGGCTTGACCTGTTAAGAAATTCTATCAATATTAAGTCAAATAAAACATCATGTAAAGTTGACTAGATTAAGTGTTTGACCCATTAATCCTATCAAGTCAAAAAAAAGCATCCCCCAATCCATGTCCCTATTAAGACCATTAAGTGAGAGAAACAATATATATAACCATGACTACTTTCACAATACAGACATTCAAGGAGAAAGTGGAATATATGGAGCAGACTAACAAGTCATCCATATCATGAGTCGGAATCTCAATCTCATGTTGGGATTGACCTTCAACAGCACCTTGAAAATGAGACATTAAATATGGGTTGCAACCATCCAAAAGTAATAGGCCCAAAGTCGTCTTATGATTGTTTTCCTTGACCCAATGTCTTGTAGCTCGACGTTCATGCATAATTCTTGAAAAAACTATGGTGTAGCCTCCACATACCCTTCGGATCTCAAATAACCATGAATCAAAGCTTGCACTCTACATTTACAACATTATATATATATATATATATATATATATATATATATATATATATATATATATATATACACACAGAGAGAGAGAGAGAGAGCTAGGTTCAAATGTGGATTGACATCTATTGTGTAGACGTGTGGACAATGTTATTCTATGAGAATGACAAAGAAAATATGTTGTTAGGTAATGTGAATACGTTCAGTCTTACATAATTATTCTCATTATCACGCATTCTCACTAATTAAATCTTCTATTAGGTTATTATAGACTTTATTATTATTATTCTCATTCTGTCATAATGTTGTCAGAATGTTTATTGAGTCGTATTATGTAAGAATGAAAATGAGTAAAAAACAATGTGTGAGAACAAAAATAAGTAAGAATTAGTGAGAATGCATGAAAACGACGATAGTTGTGTAAGGTTTAACGTATCACATTACCAAACAACCTATTCTCTTAGTAATTCTCATAGAATAGCATTGTCCACACGTCTGCACAATAGTTGTCTATCAACATTATAACCTAGCCCTATATATATATATATATATATATATATATATATATATATATATATATATATATATATATATATATATATATATATATATATATATTCGCTATTATATTCAAATCAACAAATCATGATTATATTTACTTGCCCTTCATCCTTTGTAATCTCAGTGGTTTACCGGAGTAGTGGAGCAGCAGCCGGAGCGCCATCTTGAGTAAATGCTTGCAACTAGGGCAAAGCCCAGAAGCTTGGAGAAGCCTTTGTTGCGAGGCCTTAATGTTAGCCGACAATTCTTAGTCACCAACAGAGCTAGGATTTTGGAGCGAAATCTACAAAAAATAAAAAAATAAAAAATTAAACAATTCAATAAAGAGATTTGTCATTTGCCTATAGGTTTTGTTAATAAAATAGGTTTATAATTGTGGTTATCAAGAATGTGAGTTTCAATGACCAAACTAGATTTTAATTGGTGAATATGAAAAATATATAACTTATATTGAAGAATAGTTTAAATGAAGGTAAGTTTCAAATAAATTATGCTAATTTAGACTTTTGTTTATTGCAGATAATGTGGTTTTTAGACTCTCATCTTTGTGAACCTATGTATTTATACGTCGACGTGATCCCGAAAATATAAATTTCGTAGAAATCCGAGTTTATATGAAGGAGATATGAATTTTATAAAATATAAAAATCAACCGCGTAATATAAAATTATTAACATCGAAAATGTACAAAGAGAATGGTTGACTTTTGAGTAAAGTCACCAAAACGAAAATCATACTACTCTTTAAGATATAAATTTTGGTAAAATGAACACCAAAATCGGAGTTCGTCTGAGAAAGTTATAATTTTTGTAAAATCATTAAATCATATAAAAATAAGGGCTAAAAATAAAGTCAGAATTAACCTATGGAGCTTAAAGGAAAGTTGTAGTACTCGTTGAGAGCTACACGTGGAAAAAAAGAATGTCAAAACGGAGTCCGTAAGAAGAAAACATGGAATTAACAAAATTTGTATTTTGCGCCCCGTGTGGTGTGTGCCAGGTGTGCAACACGCACTTCTAGAAGGAGAAAACGCGGAGCCCAGAGAGCCTGACACGTGGCACAAATCGACTGGGAGACATCTCCATATGCGCACGACGCGCCTCCATTTGCAGGAGGAGCAAGTCCGATTTTGGCCCTATAAATAGACTTTGGCTGCTCATTTGTTTCCACACTTCCCATCCTTCTCTCTATCAAATTTCTCTCGATTTTAGCCCATTTTCCTTAAGTTTTAGTCTTTGGTGGGGCCCTATGACCCCTGATGTATTCAGCTAAGTAGTAGCCATCTAGTAGGAGCCCTGTGAGTTCAATTTCCTACTTTTATCAGGAAGAACCTCTGTACGCTAAGCTATACTCTAGTCTTTTCAGCGTAACTTATATTTATAGTCACAAGCCATTGTTATGAACCTATAAATAAGATTTATCAGTAATTCCATGTCGTTTTACTGATTGATCTACTTATGGGAGAGGTGTCTAGAATGGTACACTGGCTTGGTTGTTGAATTTCAGAAAGGCTATATGTTGAAATGGTCCTGCCTCCCAACTGTCCTGCGTGGTTGATCCTTACTTGATAGATCTTGATGTAGATATTGAGATTAGTGAGGAATCTTGACTATCATTAGTCGCCAAGAATATAAACCTAAGATTTAGTAATGTTTGTACTTATGTTATGTCAGAGGAAAAGCTAAAAGTGTTAGGCGAAGTTTTGTTGAAATCGCCAATCGTTTACCTAAGTCAAGTGAGTGCATAGTCTATTTCATTAACATTATTTTAATACGAGTATTAATTAAAGTATCAAATATATGTTAGAAAGTTTATGTGCGAGCCATATGCTTATTTCCTGGTTTACGTGTTAGAAATGTATTTAAGGATATATGACGTGTTAGAAATGTACTTAAATATTATTTAGCTGATATTTCACCAATTTGGATTGGGAACTCCATTTGGTGCCTTCAAATTCAAATCCTAGCAAATTGCTTCATTATATGAACTAAATTGTAAATTTGTTATGGATTATAAAAAATTATTTTATTTTTAGTCTATATATAGTTATGAAGATGGATTGAGTTATCCAGTCATCAACCAACATCTATTCTTCAAAAGTCAACTTTATATTCTAGCTTTAATGATTTATAATTTAATTTTATCATTAGTTATCCAATAATCTTCTCTTTCTTTCAGGTTAGGTTAGTTTAGACTCCCCCCACTTATTTTGATCAATTTATAAGTTGTGATTAACAATTTCTTTGAGTTAAAAATGTTTTTGCCCTATTTGTTTGTTCAAACCATGGGAAATAGACAAATAGTATAATTAACTGCATAAGTTGAGTGACTTTGAATATTATTCTATGCATGGATGTCTTTGAGGGTGTGCGGGGTAGGCGACCGCACATGGCCAATGTCATAAAGGGGCCCAATTTTTACGTACGATTTGTTATAGTAGACTAGAAATATAGGCCCAAGAACAAAATTGATTCAAAGGTATCGTCATCATATCATCTTCTAAATCTCGCCAATCCAAGTAAGAAGTCGCTACGACGCCACTTATAACATCCCAAAATTTAGAGCCAAAAATTTCATTTTTAAATAAGTAATTATGAAAACCAGTAGTCTGAAACATCAATAGTGCCAACCCATATAATAATTAAAACCAGTATGTCAAATAATCCAAAACATGTCATAGAAAAGTAATATCAGAGTACAACTCCCAAAGTTCTCATAATGCGGAAAATCATGGTGTGATGCATTGCGATCATGCCGGCTCCTTTCCTTTTGAAGAAGAAGTACCTGAAACACAAACTAAAACTATAAGCACGAATCTTAGTGAGTTCCCCCATCATACCACATAAAAGCATACTGTTAGGCATATCTGGGTGCCCGACCTACCCCTTCGGTCTAATTCAACAAGATATTGTCGAGCATATCTGGGTGCTCGACCTACCCCTTCGGTCTCTTCCAACCGGATACTGCCGAGCATATCTGGGTGATCGACCCACCCCTTCGTTCTCTTCCAACCGGATACTATCGAGCATATTTGGGTGGTCGACCTACCGCTTCGGTCTATTTCAACCGGTTACGGTGTCTATTTCACCCCTACCACTACTACATAATATCATAGAATACAAGCACATAAATCACAACAGATAGTGGCATACCATATAACTATCACAAAGACAATCACCTTACTATAAACAACAACAAGTGGGCTGACATTGGTGCCTTCGACCC